GTTGAAAGGAGGGATGTCCCTCCAAGTTTTTCCTGGGAATTGCATCTATATGAATGAGAAGCATAAATCTGTTTTTTGGAAAGACGGGATTGTTTTGAGTTTGTTTCATTTGGGAAACTTTATACTAAGTAGATTAAGTTAAGTGACTTTGAACTTAGAAATGTCCACATCTTAACATTTTATTAAGCCTAATTGGGTTTGTAGAACATTTAAAGACATCCAAACAAATGGAAGATCAAAATGAACTAATAGGTCGCTGCAGACTTTTTCCACCCTCCTTTGTGCTGCGTTAATGAAAGTGGTGCCTCCGTGCCTGCCAGCGATGCGCTCGGAGGCCTGGCTTCCAGGGAGCTCTGGCGTGTCCTGCCCCTGCCCTGGCCTGAGCTGCGCCTGATGCCTTCTCATGACCGCCCGCGCCAAGCACCTGGCCTTCAGGACCACCCTCCTGCCCCTGCCAGGGCGCCTTGCCACATCAGAAAAGCGGTTGGACTCAAGGCAGACTTGCAGAAGTTTGTTTGATGGAACTTCCTAGGGAAAAAATCTCCGACCCTTGGAAATAAAATCCATCAGGTTGCAGGATCTGTCAGTGATGGAACGATGAACAATTTGAGTCTGCTACTCAGAGGTTTCACACTCAGTTAATTAAGCAGTGGAGTAAAGGCCAGGTTTAATTTCCACATATCATCTCTTCTCTGCTTGATTTTCGCTGCTGCGTTTATGCTTCTATGTCCTTACAGAATGTTCCAGAAGTAGCCATGCCATTATGCTCTTTCTATTTTAAGGGATCTCTAATTATTAAAGCAATACTTGTTCATTTGTAAAAACATTCAAGTGAAATTGAAATTTCTGAATAACTGTAAGTCCCTTTTTACAAAAATAGGACTATGCTACACAATATCCCATAGCTTGCTTTTCCCCTTACCAATTTCTAATGGACATCTTTCTCCATGAGTTAATAGCTGCATGGTGTTCCCTGCATGAATGTACTCTAAGTTTTTAGCCAATGAGCTGTCCAGAGACACTTAAGATTTAACAGTTTTTGACCATTACAAACAATGAAGCTTGACATCCATGTACTTTTATCATTTTTGTGTATCTGTGAAAATATATAAAACTGAATTACCGGGCTTTAAGAAGACAACACTCTACTGTTCTCCTACCCCTTCCTGTCACCTTGGCTACCAGCTTGGCCCCCACCAGCATTTCATTTGATATCCTGGCTATAAAATCAATGCCTAGAAGTACAATTACTGGTTCTAAAAAAAAAAAAATTACAGCCCGGCCGGGCGTGGCTCAGCTGTTGAGCGTCAACATAGGATCCAGGTGACCGGGGTTCGATTCCCTGTCAGGGCACATGCCCGGGTTGTGGACTCGATCAATGACTCTCTCATCATTGATGTTTCTATCTCTGTCTCCCCCTCTCCTTTCCTCTCTCTGAAATCAATAAAGATATATTAAAAAAAATTACAACTATAAAATGCTATGGATATTGTTAAATTGCTCTTCAAAATATTTCTTTCGGATTAAATCTCTTTTCTTTTTGTTGCCAGTTGAAGGGCAGTATTGTGAGAAGGCCAGAGTGTGAACCCAGTATCACTCGATTGTGTTCACTTCTCAGACAGAGATGCAACAAGTCATTCCCATACCATTTCTACTCAGATAAGGAGGCCGTTTCACTGGGAGCCAAGGACTGCATATCAGTGGAAATATTAAAGATGATTCTGATTTTTCTTTCACAAACCAACAAAACAAATATACTGCTATAAATCCCTTAGCACATACCTGACCCAGGGGATGGTGCTGACTGGGGAAGCCACATGGTGCTGGTGTAGGGTGTGGGCTGGTTTTCATTACTGTGATGATTGTTAGTACAATTATCCTTGAGCAATCGTGTCTGGTCTGCAGTTTGGCATGATCCTACTGGTTTTCCAAATGGGTTGCCATCTTTTACAATCAGGGATTATACAAGTTTTGCCAGTGATTCAGGACATTGTTCTGGTGTTTTAACTATGCCTCCGAGAGAACTCAGTTTATCCGGTGGCTCTTCATCTGGATGGCACAGGAGGTTTGGCACACACAGGTGCCTTTACCCAAAACCAAACGGGTTGCTTTGTGTTGGGTCTTTTCTGCTTTGCCAGCAAGACAGACTCATAGCTTCATTTCCTAAGAGCCATCTAATATGCTTTCTGCTTGGTTAAGAGTCAGTGGGCCTGCAAGTTTTTATCAATCTAGTGTTTCCCCTTTAAATAGCTTACATTGGAAGTGAACAGCAAAGTGTTATGAAAACAGCCTGGGTCTGGTCTCAAGAGCCTGGATTCCAATCCTGTCTCTTGTGGGTGCTGGCTCTGGACCTTGGATCTGGGTGAGGATTTCTGTATTGGCAGAACCAGCACCTCCAGGAGGTTAAGAGGAGACCCCAGTGTTATCTTGAGGTTTCTGGGATCAGGGAGACCTCTGATTAGATCAGGACTTGAAACTAATCAAATTGCTTTATTTCACTGGGCCTCAGTTTTCCTTAAATCAGACATTATCAGCTAAATGCCAACAGTGGCCAGACAGGAAAAGTGAACATAGGACAGCTCCGTGTTGGAAGGTCAGTGGTAACCACCTTGGCTACATGAGGCTGAACCTTCTCCCTCCCACCCCCAACCCAAGAAAAGCAGAATCTCCTAATTAAAAAAAAAACAAATCCTTCTTTTCAATCTGACTCCAGTGGGAATAGTGCAGAAAAGAGCCAGGGGAGTGAAGAGAGGCCACAGCTTCTCTGCCTGTTCCTCCACCCAGGAAGCCCCCTGGCAGGAGCTGTGATGGATGAAATGACTGCCTTACCAAGCATCGATCAGGATAGACTAAGGCCACGTAATGATTGTATGTATTTTTAAGCACCTTTTTAGTTGGAAATAAACCATCACATAAAAACTAGTCTTCAAGTTATAATTCCCAGGTAAGGCGATATTCCTAATTAGAACAAAGTCTTCATTTTTGAGCATTCATATACTTTTATCCATTCATGTCTTGATGTGTAATGTTCTGAGAACTGTGCTCCATCGGGTCACAACCAGGGGCAAGAAACATAGCCCTTCTTTCCCCCCATTCAAGTGAATGGTCTAGTGGAGATCAACCTCACAGAGGCAACCACACAACCACTCGAGGTATTAGTTAACCACAGTGGAAACAGGCTTCGAAGGAGGAGCAGGGCTGCCTGACCCTGTCTGGATGAGCTGAGGGCACATCAGCTGGTAAGGCCTGGGTACATGGAAAGCACTGCTCACCCACTGCCATGTCCTTATTTAACTCAGTCTCAGAGGCGACCGAAGGGCTGAGCTTGGTCTGCAGAAGAGTTTTATTTGGATTGTGTAGTGTTGACCCACATGTATTAAATTTGAGTGGAAGGGCTTTAACCCTTTTAATTCCTTATCTTTCTTCTATCAAGCCCTCAAGTACCACTTTGGGAGGTGGGTTGTGGTTTACTTCAAAGAATTGTCTGACAGTTTCACTTAGCATAGTACCCTCTAAGTACAGCCATGTTGTTGCAAATGGCAAGATTTCATTCTTTTTATGGCTGAGTCATATTCCATTCTCTCTCTCTCCCTCTCTCTCTCTCTCTCTGTCCATATCTTACCTCTCTTTGTCCATATCATACCTTCTTTATCTGCTCATCTGTTCATGGACACCTGGGTTGCTTCCATGTCTTGGCTATTGTAAATAATGCTGCAGTTATATAGGGGTACTTACAGGGTGGGGCAAAAGTATGTTTACCATTGTTCATATGGAAAATAATAAAATAATAAATAACACTAGAATAAACTGTTTTATGTACTCAAAACTATAAAGTTCCTTCTGCTCCACCAGGTATATCTTTCCAAATTAATGCTTTTGTTTTCTTCAGATAGATACCCAGATGTGAAATTTCTGGGTTGTATGGTAGTTGTAGTTTTAGATTTTTGAGGAACCTCCACACTGTTTTCCATAGTGGCTACAAACTCACCAATAGCCCACAAGGGTTCCCTTTTCCCTCCGTCTTCGCCAAATACTGTATGACTTCCATTATTTGTCAAATATAAAACACAAAACAAACAAACAAATAAAACAAAACAGACTCTTAGATACAGAGAACAAAGGGATGGTTGCCAGAGGGGAGGGGGGGTGATGGATGAGAAAAGTGAGAGGGAATGAGAGGTAAAAACCTCCGGTTTAAAGAAAAAAGTCACGGGGCAAGTAGTCAGTATTATTGTAATAAACCTTGTATGGTGACAGATGGTTACTAGACTTACCGTGGTGATCACATCATGAGGAATATAAATGTCAAATCACTGTGTTGCACACCTGAAACTAATATATACTGTATGTATGTCAACTAGACTGAAAAACAAACAAACAGAGTACTCTGGCCTCATGAGAGAGAGCTAGGAAAGGAATAGAAACTAATAGAGCCAGGGTTTTACATGTGTTTTCTGCTCTTCAGGAGCCAAAAACTTAGGAAGGCTTGAGAGGCTTTCCATTGGTCTCCTGGCTGCAGGCTGTGCCTCTTGTCCCAGTTACTTACCTCCTCAAATCAAGCCAGAGACCACAGATGGCAAGAGAGTGTCTGCAGCCTGTCCTCACCACCGGGGGAAACGTCGAGGGTCTCTCAGTGGCGCTTTCATTCCCCAGAAGAGCACGCTCTGCATTTCCTGGGCGGATCTGGTCCAGACCTGGATGCTCCTTGCCCGTCTGTGCGCATCAAACCCAGGCCCGAGAGGCTGCCAGTCTCCCATCTCACGTTGTCCTCTGTCGCGAGCTCCACACCGAAAAACAACCACCACCAGTGCCATATGGTTTAAAAGATCAAAGGCCCCAGTTTTGAATATATTTCAAGCTGACTGTACTTCAAATGTTTTAAATATGTTTCTCCAGATGGGAAGCATGGAGCATTAACGAGGTAAACCACATGTGCGCGAGCCGTGATGCGGTCTGTGAAAAGTGAATGCCACTGATCCGTGCCTTTGCCTCCCTCTCAGGTTCGCATCTTCACGTACCTCATTGGACGGGAGGCGGCTTTTGCAGACAATCTCAAGTGGATGGCCTGTGCCAACAAAGGTAGGTCCCTCTGGTGTGCTTGGCTCTGCTTGCCTTCTCCTTGGATGTGCAGAAATCAAAATAGGCATGAGGAAGTGGAGAATCCTAGGAGAAGGCTGTGAATTCTAAGATAAGGTCTGGGTGTTTCTAAATGGTTTTTGATAAGCTTGTAACAGCTTCTCCCAAAATGTGCTTATAAAGTTTGAGGACGTAGGTGGAGTGGCTAAACCTCTCCGTTCTACTGCTTAGGAGCTGAGTGACCTTGGGAGAAGCACTGTGGCAGAGCCGTTTATTGTGCACCAAATATCCATGTGCTTACTCAGCACCCCCAGCCCCCTGGAGGCCCAGTGGGGCCTCAACACTGGTTGTGGCCAATAGTCTGTAAGCAGAACCAACCTGGGTCATTTCTGAGTTAATGCATTTAAGAGCTGTGGTAGTATCTACACTCTCTTTGGCTCTTGTGAACTCTGAAGCTACATGATGGAATTGTCATGAAATGAAGCAACCTTCATCAGCCTGGGTCCCTGAGTGATCACATGGAGCAAAATGCCTTTCCACTCACCCTGTCCCCTGCCATATGCCAACCCACAATGCACATACAGTATGTGTGATAAACCTTTTTATTCAGCCATTGAGGTTTTCGGTGTGATATGTTCCCATAGCATGACTTAGCCTACACAACTAGTTAAGTCAGTTAACTCTAACCTGCTTTAATGTTCTAATTTTCAAAATGGAAATGGGGATAATAGTTCCTCCTTTGATTCTTATTAAATATAAGCATTAATGAAATGGGGTCTATCTCAGTAATGGAACATAGTGAGAGTGTAATGATTGTTGGGGCTTCTGTGCATTCACAGGTTAATTGATTAATGACCCCCTGTTGTATGTAAGAAAGAATGTTTTGGGACAGGTACAAGGAGGGAAATAACAGGCTCTCCAGTCTATGATGGGCTTCTTTTCATTCTACAACTAAGAAGGCAAAACATATGAGGCAAATGGATGGTAGAGTCCAGATTCCTTGAGTCTCAACCCAGACTCCTTGAGTTTAAATCCAACCTCCATCATCCACCAACCCATTAGCAAGTTACCAAACCTATCTGGGTCTGAGTTATGTCACCCACAGAACTGGAGAAGTGAACATACCTGTCCCATACAGATTGTGAGCATGAAATGAGGCTGTGCCAGTGAAGCTGGTAGCTCAGTGCCTGGCACAGAAGTGCCCCATATCATTTCCCAGTGCCATGCTTATCTGTGCACGTGTCTTACCTCCCTCCTGAGGCTACACACTCCATGAGGGCAGCCTTTGACTCTGACTTCACCTTGAGCACCAACAGAGCCCGGCCCCCAGCCTTACTCAGAGTGGGTGATTATTTGATGTTCCTAAAATGAGTAATTGACTATAAACACTAGTAAAGGAAGATCTGTTCTGTTGCTCATGGACTGGTATTGATGAATTTCACTGGTCTACTTTAATATTGTCTCCTAAGCCATCCTTTATAAAAGTTTGTGCCTCAGTGGAGGAAAGAGGACCCAATGACAGCTTTGAAGGTCTCGGTCTAGTTTTAGTGACTTAAAACAAAGTTATTTTAGTTGCAAGCAACCAAAGTTGTTCCCTGAAATTAAAGAGAGGAGTGTTTTGGAGAGAGAGGGGAGTGACTCAGAATCTGGACTGGGAAGGGAAGCTTGTGTCCCTGGAGGTCCGGGGAGCAGTGATTTTGTTTTTCTTTCCCTGTTTGGTTCCTTTCTACAGTCCATGAACTCTTCTTCTCTGTAGGTCGACTTTCTCTGCCTTGGCATGTTCAGAAATGCTCACCCTATGCCACGCGCGCCCATCTATCCACACAACACACATTGTGGGCGGGGCATGATACTAGAAAGGAGTTTATATCTTTTCCATTTCAGACTGAGCCACGTCTCTAAGTTCTGATTTTATGTCCCTCACCTCCCTCCCAAAAAAGATTATGACCCCAGCTTGGGCCAGGTCTCCCCCTGCTGAATCGGGCATGGGCAGAGTTAAGCCCACAGAGCAAAATATATGCACTCTGAGGGGCTCGGCGTTGGGGGGGGAGGGGGCGTGGGAAGTTCTCAGAGCATAGATGCATAGCCAGGCAAATGAACCTCAGCCTATCTGCTTCTACTTGGAACAATATTTAAAGCCAGTCTCAATTTCCTCATTGAAAAACTGGAGATCTGCATGGCAGTTGCAACATTTCCTTGAAGCTCTAAAATAACACACCCTATGATTATTTTCGTGTATTGGCTGGCTCGCTTCACTATAGGTATCAGTAATCTGATTAGCTCAGAGCTAATGCACTTGGCCTCATTTCAGGGGGACACATGGGGGGACCGCAGGCACCAGGGATGGAAGCTGACACATCCTATGCTTCCTCAGAGGAAAGAGGCCGTTCTTGAAATAATCTTTGGAACTTTGTTGACATTTGAAAATGTTGATTGAGCCATACTTTTCCTGTTTTTCTGTTCCCCTTTATTCTGTGGTCTTAAAAAAAAAAAAGTGCCTTTCCATTTTTTAAAAAGTTTGCAGTTACTCTTGCCACGTCGGATTGCAGTTCTTCCCGTCGGCTAGTATGCAGTTAGTCACGGGCTATTGTTTTTACCACTGTCTGTGTCCAGCTGATGAAAATTACTCAAATTGAAGTCTTGTCTTAATCAACTAATATTACACCATAATTTAGTTTTAGTCATTGTTTATAAGAATCTTTGAAGCATCCTTTTGAAGACAGTTTAGTCGACTCGGAGTATTTCAGGGCCTGGCTATAGAATATAGCCCTTTAGATGTAAAAGCTCTGAGTACAGCAACTTGGAAAATCCGAGGCGGTAATAGTAGCCGTGGGGCTGGCCGGGCCTTGGATTCCACAGTGATTCTCCTTCTCTTCCCGTCTAAATCCAAATCCAGTCATTTCCTTCCCTGCCAGAGCCAGTCCCTCTCCAAAGTCTCACCTTCCTTACTCTGCTTCTCTTCTAAAGGGCCTTGGGAATAAAATGTCATTGTTTACCACTCTTCAAAGTAGCAGTTGCCATCAAAACGTTAGGTTCCAGTCATCTGTGCCCATGTAAACACTGGCTTCGCGTTGCGTCAGTGATGGGGTTTTAGACCACGTAACATCAGTGAGCAAGTATTCTTCCATGGTCATTAATTAAATCATTGTTTATAGTCTCAGATTGTTATAGTATGGAGGCAGCATAGCATTTTTCATCTCAAGTGACATGAGGTCCAGAGGGGCCCCCCCTTACATATTTTTGTCCTGACTCAGACAAGTTCTTCAGTGAAATGAGTCATTAACATTCAGGGGCCAGAGCAGACTCGGGGAGAGCCCAGGGGAGCCCAAGGAGAAGCTTGTTGGCAGACCTGCTGGGCCTGGCCAGAGTGGCCCTGCGGAGGAGCAGGAGCTGTCAGGGCCCACACACCTTCCGCAGTAAGGGGGCCAGGATGCACTATCAGCACAGAACTTCTTGCAAGCAAGTCTGGTAGCCATGGAGACTGCTCTCAGCCACTGGACCTCAGACGTGTCTGCTGGAAATCGATGTCTGGGGACATTTATACCCCTTACAGGAGTTCTCTGCCTCCTCCAATCTACAAGCAAAATCCAGAGAGGCCTGGAGCTCATTGGTTTGTTTCATTTTGTGCATAACTAGGTCCCATCTTGAGGGAAACGGCCTTAATGAGGCAAAGCAGCAAACCATTTTAAACCCATTAAAACAATCATTGCCACTGTACAATGGCTTGTGGAATATACAGTTCCGAGTTCACACTATTGGATAAATAAGTGAGCTGGGAAAACTGAAAAGAGGGGCCGGCTCGCTCAGATATGCCATAAAGCCATGATGACCTTCTCTAATGTTCAGTGTGCCAAGATTTTAAATAAGCACGGCCTGAGTCTCCTGCAGAAATCACGGCGAATGGAGTGTTTTCCAGCTGTGCAAATAAAGAAGGGCCTCCGTGTTTGGGTTCTCAACCAATCAGTCATCGTTAGGTCGAATGGAAACGCCACATGAGTCTCTCTTGGTTGTCTGCTCGGCTTGTCCCTTTTTGATAGGTTAATGGTCATTCTCTCTTTATTTGAAAGCGAACTAGTGGCCTGAGACCTCCTCAGAAGTTCAGACCCTCAGCCCTTTTCCAATAAAAATTTTTTACCCTCATTCTACGTTTGTTTCCAAACATCTTGGCTCCTAAAAGATAGCTTCAAATTTATGAGGCCAGAGTGGTTGTAGGTGAGGGTAGGGGAAAAGTGGCAATTAAAACTTGCATTATTTTGGAACAGGTAGAAGAAGGCAAAATGGCAGTTATTCAGATATCTTTATACAGTATTTTTCTGTACTCTTTGACCAGTATTTCCCCAATTCCTAACCCTCAGCCCCTGGTAACCACCATTTCACTCTCTGTGTCTACAAGCTCAGCTTTTTTAGATTCCATATGGATTCCACATATAAGTGATATCAAACAGCATTTAATCTTTCTCCATCTGATTTACCTCACTTAGTAATATACTGTAGGTCCATGCATGCTGTTGCAAATGGCAGGCTTTCCTTCTTTCTCATAGCTGAATACTACTCCACTCTGTGTGTGTGTGTGTGTGTGTGTGTGTGTGTGTGTGTGTGTGTGTGTGATGGACACTTAAGTTGTGCACATTCTTTGTGTACATTCCATAGAACCTGAAGATGGTGCTGTTGTTTATAGCAACTAAGGATGACAAACTACGTGTCAGGTAGAATGCAAAGTGCTTTTGTGAAATCTCTCTTTTGCCCCTCACTAAAGCTTTAGAAGAAAGCTGAGATTTAGTTTTCTTGTCCCAGGTTACCAGCTAGCAGGTGGCAGAGCCCGGATTCGGGGCCAGTGGATCCGAAGCCTGAGCCTAACCTCACCAGGATGTGAGAAAGTTGTGTTTCATGCAGAACTCTTGTATGTCTTCCATAACTTGAAAGACTCTAGGAAAGGGAATCTAGAGGTTGAGGAAAGGCTTTACCAGCTAATAAACACTGGGCTGGGATTTCGACCCAGCCTG